CAGTCAGAAATGTTTGAATAACTGGACAAATTTCCCCGTAAGCGGTTGCGAGACCTTGAATTTGCAGGTGGAAGAGATCCATCTTTTAGCGGTTTTCGTAAATGGATGTCCACGTAGTCTTGCCCAGGTGAAACGGAATGAGCGGCTTAGTAACCTAGAAGTAAGTCGTCGAGTGTTTGGGAATGCATCGAACATGGCCTCGCTAGTGGATCAAATACAGCTCAAAAGGTTCCGTTGGTTAGGACGTTTTGCGTGTGTCTCACGCCGCCCACCACTGCAAAGTGGAGAAAACCACATGGAGGCCAGCAGGTGANNGCAGGTGACGTAAAGACAATGCATGAAGAAATGCACATAGCTATCAGTTAGAGTAGGTTTCGCTGGTCTTCCTGGTTGGGGTCCATAATACTCCGCAACTGGAGATATTGAAGGATATGGCAGAAAGCCGACAACAGTGGCGTTCTTGTTTTCATTTCAGACCAGAATGCTTGAAAATGCATGTATGCATTGTTGGACTGTGTACTCTGTGTTGACCGTATTAGTTCGCTTTCTTTCCCCGTCTCTTAAAATAGACCCAATTCCCGTCCTCCTTACACATTTTGACATACCTTGTATACATTATGAGTTTAACAGCGATCAGCGAAGTTCACTTCACTGTAATACACTGTACTATGACCAACGATGATGGTGGCGCACGTCGGGATTTGAATAGTCCCAACTGGTAACTGCATATGTGACTGGCGTTAGTTTTTTCACTATCATCCTCCATCTTTATTTTTGATTTCAGGTTCTACCTCCGAAAAGGAACCGTCTGGTTGATTTGTGATTTTGCCTTATATATGTTCAACACCCTATCGTCTTTCAAGTCTTTCCTGATGAAAGTCAATTCTGAACTTGCTGGCTATCGATTTATGCAAGTGAATTATCCACTGAGCTTTTCATCTGTACCACAGTGAAAACAGTCATAATTCACGAAATTGAGTCTATCGCTGCTGTCAAAAACTGATGTACTGTCCCGAGATTTCCGATGCAGTTGTTTCATTTTGGTGCGCATTGCTAAGAATACCCACCCCATTGACCTTCTAAAATTCAATCCGAGACTGTTGATTGAAATGGTTGATGTTCCGATTGGTGCTTTTCGTGCATCGTGCCACTTTCCACAAATACACAAGTCTTGCTGTTGCGGAATTACTTCTGGTTTTCTGCACAACCTTCCATCAACATATGGTGATATAAAGAAAAATCAAACGTCAAAACGGACAATATCGAGTTTGTCAAACGTATTTTCACTGTTTATTTCGGAAGATTGTGCTGAGAACAACCAACCTATAGTAGATCAGTATTACCTCGTTCTCTAAAACATTGTATTTCGTAAATCCGACCGTTTTAGTGTTGCTTTGATGATTCTATGTGCAAACCCCAACAACGGAGCAAAAACAGCACTACAACTGTCACTTGGAAAGAACTAAGCGACCTTGGTGTAACTATATCTGATAAAGTTCTCCATGATGTTCCAGATTAAAGAGGAAACAGTTTTTTAAGTGAAGTTACCTTGAATGATATACTTACCTGAGCTGCTCACCGAGAACCACAAGGGACAGATGATTTCATCGTTCGAACATTTTATGTACGAGTAAATACTTACAGGTGAATTTAGGTCCTCTTAATAGAACCGCTCTCTCACCCAAGGTCGCTACTCGATAATAGTTCACAGCTCATATTATCTCAAACAACGCTTCGAGTGTTGAATCCTTTTTCCTTCTTGCGCACACTTTTCTTTCACTCCCTTCTAGAGTTTCATTCTTGACAGTGTCAGCTTGCACAATTGTAAACCCTGTACATCCCTGCTATGATTATGGTTGGTATCTTTCAGCTTCCCACTTGCTCCACTGGTCAAGAAAAGGAATGCATTCATTGTCATCATCGTGCAGCTGGTTTTTTCACATTCGCTTGCTCGCCTCGGTCATCTTTATAACCCTGGCTGTAATCAGCCAGTCAGATATCAGTTCTGTGATCACCTTATGCATGTCACCGCCGGATGCGATACATCCAAAGGAAATGCCTCATCGGGAACACTGTTTTCCGTCAGTATTCCAGACGACTTCAGTGACTGTGTTCTGCAGCGAGCGATCGGTTTTACGGAAAGTCGCATCCGGAAGTATTTCTGTCCAGTTAAGATACACCGTAATTCTACATGCACTTAGTTTATCCATTTCCACCGTGATATTGTGATGGAGGGTCGTACTAAGAGAGTCCTGGACAACGAACGAATCAAGAATAGGGCCGATCCAACCAAGTGTACGGACGTAGAGGCTGCAAGTACTTTGCGAGACAATATAGACTACCACTCGAAACGAACGAATCGACAATTACAGCCCGACGGACAATCTGCATATAGCCAGAAAGATATCCACCGAATACCACAACGTCGGAGCTGTCGATCAAGGTATCTCACGCTACGATCGGGTCAAACCAGTCGGAACGGCACGCGGAAGAGGAGGAAACGTACGTGTCAAGTGCGGACCAAAACCAACAGAATAAGGCATGAATCATCCTGCCGCGCGGTTCAGAATTGATTGTATATAATCGAACGCAAATAACGGTTCTTTTTGAATTGGATCAATAAACGTTTTGCCAGCCGACTCGCCTTCTCGCTACAATTTTACAACTATTAGCTGTTTAGTTGACGCAAGTTACGTGACTCAGTACTAAATTCCAGGTTCTGATGGACTGCATGCGTCATCCGATCATGCAGAAGATTTGAACTTTAACTCATTGGTCACCGGAAGATCCTAGTCTGTGTGACCACAGTGTTTGCTTGTTTGTTGGGAAAATAAGACAAAAGCTAGGAGCCCCGTCACTTCGTGGATTAGATCAGCAGTGAGATCAAATAAGACATTCAATGCATTTGGCAGAAAACTTTGACTGTGGATTCAGGCTTGAGGTTCGTCCCATACATCTCAGTAATACTGGTGGGGCAAAAGCCAAAATCCTCGATCCGCCGGGTTCAAAATACGATGTGGTGGGGTCTGAAACCTCAGTTAAAATAGCCGTAATAGGGACTGGAAAAGCAGATGGTCCAAAATAGCTGATGAAATGAAAGTAACCGCTTTACTAGAATACAATCAAAGACGGTTCCAGCTCGCACGCCTCAGCGCAAGTTGTCATATACCGATGTACGAAACTATCGTTGACAAAAGCGGACAGACCGCTCACACTTCGGGACAGTGAGTGGATCCTCCGGAAAGTATTTTGCCACCCGATGCTACCAAGCTACTTCGACAGTTTCAGCGAAATTGTATTGGTTAATGGCATATGAACTACCAACATAAATACAAGCTTATATTCAAGCGCTAGAGGGAAAGCAGTCGGACCTGACGCGCTTTTCTCATGGATTGCAAAACTAGTGTTTCCATAATATGCTCCATTATTGTTTAAATGCACCATACCTGGTCCGAGGAATGGATCCTCTTGTAGTGGGCGAATCACTGAACGTTCCCGTTTTTGAAGGGTTTGCGGAATGAATGCGGACATCATTGTTAGGCACATTTAATCCCGAGAGTCATCGGAGTGTTAACCTCCAGAATAATTTGAAAGAGGCAAATATCCACGACGCGGTATCTCGGCCAGGTCGCCACTGAATTGATCAAATATTGACGAGACAGACGTCAGCCGTCGTACCACATGTAGTTCCGCGTGTTCCGTATTCCCAATTTTCTGTAGCACCAGGACAGGATTAATGCGAACTTCTGGAGTGAGTCTATCCGTTTTATACAACGGCAGCCTGACCCAACCTTGTCTTCGGTTGCACGGAGAATGTGCCAACAGCTTCTCGAGGATCAACTGAAAACACAACGGAACCACGCGGGTCGTACTATGAAGCGATACACGACAACAATAGGCGCTCCGCGCATGCTACGTCGCATAAGTTCAAGCTGTTAGTGATTTCATCTCGTTTAGCGATCCACTCAAACCTTGGAGGTCGTTGTGATGGGCGTTCAGTACTATCATTCAGTGCAATACCGGGTGACCTGTCCGGTGCCGACTGTACACCGCTGTCTACGACAATCCGTTCTCTTTTTGAATATGGCCAGGCGTGCCGCACCCTTTATTTCAAACTAGTCTTTCTGTTTCCATTGGTTGGGATGGCTCTCTTGAATGAAGCTTCCGGTGCACGCGCCATTGGAAGCATCTTGTCATTATCCAACGTCCCTCCCACGTGGTCATTCATGAATAGCACAGGTTTTTCATACGTACGCTGCGGCTGATCAACGCGGGATCCATTTGGCTACGATAGGTTTGCCGATGGATTACACCGCTCTAATTTGGTTGTCGGATTCATGAGTGATCCACGCACTGTATTTAAGGTAGTTTGTTTTTGGTCTCTCAAGGGTTAAGTTGATTGCCTGCGTGCAGCATGTACGTCGGCACCGATGGCCGTCTCGGACTAAATACTATCTGGATTCGTAGGACTTGGGAAATTTCGCCGATCAACAGCTTTCAGACGCACCCATTTTTCAAAAGTGTTGAGCGAAAGGGAAGGCACGCTGATATTGCTCTCTGTTGGCGTTAGATCTGATCCATGACATGTGGACATTAGGCTGACATGCTAGTTGGTAATTCTGAGTTGATCGTCAATAGTATTGACTGTCTTTGTCATTGGAGACGACTAAAGATTGAGGTTGTTACACGCATCGCTTCGAAAAGCCGTTTATTTTGAACTAGGATTGTGTATATGTTTAACGTCAGTCTTTACAAATACAGCGCCAAAAT